CCCCTCTGGGGTCTTTGGGGCCTTCCTGTTCTGTTGTCGCACAGGCCGGGGGCTCCCGCGCAGGCCGGGAGCTCGCGCGCACGCCGCCAGTGATCGCAGGCAGGCAGGCAGGCCTAAAAAGTTGTTCTTAAAAATTGCTTCTTTAAGAATTTGTACAGTACATAGAGAATGTATTCCAGTGATACTTTTCACAATGAGTTCTAAGAGTAAATTGCTTGGGAATCTATTTCAGTGTGTCACTAATGGTTAGTGCAAACAAAATTTAGTGCTTTTTTCATACCTTAATAACATACATTAAGCAATCAAAAGTTAGAAAAGACAAAAACATATGACTTCTGGGGATAACATAAAATAGCCAGTAAGTTCTATTTATTTGGGAAGATGAATATAGAAGGGAGTTTGTTGACGGGTTGACAGTTTCAGTCAGCCTCTTTAAAATAGAAGCCTGTACCATCCTGTAGAATCATTTACTTAAAAATTCTGCTGATGAGGCCTGATGTACTCAGGCGCTTTCCTTCCTCCACTTTGCTACAGCTGTCGCTGTCTCTCTTTCTCTCTCTCTCTCTCTCTCTCTCTCTGTTTATTGGTACTTTTTAGGTACAGTTACATTCATCATTGGAATATTGTATCTTTACATGACAGGTCTTGGTTCTCATTTCTTCCCCTTGTCCCTGCTCTCCCTTGTTGTTACAGCTGTTTTAAACTTTTATTCAGTAAAGTCTTAAGGAGGTAAAAACAAAATGCAAATGCAAGTTTGAATAGCCAAGATAATTAGAAAGTCTTATGAGATTCGTAGGTTTTCAGAGAAGAAAACTGGAAGCCTGTTGTTAACTGTAGAAGGAAGGGCTGGGGTAGTTAGCTCAGTGTGAGAGCAGGTATGTGGCCCTGGAATCATTCTCCAGGCCCCCTTCTATTCAACCACAATACAGAAGGAACTATAATACTAGGTTAGAGACAAAACTGTATTGTGAAGACTTTAAAATTTCTCATTTACATTCAACAGTACAGGAACAGATAATGAATTTATATTTTCTTGATAAATAATATTTTTTATGTGGTTGATTTTTTTTTTTAACACTATGGATATTTATTCCTTTCTTTTATTGGCAGTCTTTTTCACAACTGACCAAAACTTAAGTATGCTCTGGATTTTGTTAGTTGGTTTTTTCACTCCATTTTTTAATCTTTCAGGCTTTTGAACATCTACAACAGTTAGAATTAATAAAGCCTGTGGAAAGAACGTCAGTAAATTCACAGAGAGAGTACCAGCTGATGAAACTACTTTTGGATAATACTCAAATTATGAATGCTCTGCAGAAATACCCCAACTGTCCTACAGATGTTAGACAGTGGGCAACATCCTCACTAAGCTGGCTATGAACGTAACACGACTTCAGTTTTGGCATTTCAGATGTAGTTCACTAAAGGACTAAAAGCTATTTTCCTTTAACAAGATATGTTAATGCATTTTATATTTATAAACATTTCTTAATTTATGAGACATTGTTGCACATGTAGTTTCTTGCTTATGCCTTACTTTCAATCACAAGCAGTTGCATGGCTTGTAATTCCGTCATTGACTTAGATTGTGCTGTAAGTAGCAGTTCAGAAGAATAAAATGTGATTTTGACATCAAACCATTTTTTAAATATTTGTATTTATGTGGTATCAGGAGGTTTACAAAAGCCACAGCCCTTTTTTGTAATATATATTCAATTTAAGTGTAATACATATTCTTCTGTGGCTTACGTACAGATTAGAAAATTAACACAATAGTGCCAAGTGTCCAGAATCACACAGGTGTAGAATGACTGGCCCTGGAATTCAGCTAAGTTTTGACTGACGCCAAGCCCGTGCTGTTAAGAATTAAAGTGCAGCATGTTCTTTACCAAGTATTTTTAAAAGTATACTCCAAAGGGTTTATCTGGCATTTAAGTAGTTTTAGAAATACAGTGTTACATGATTTTTGTGCATTAAAATAGCACTTCAACAGTAACAACCTATTTTTTGCATACATAGCCTTTATTTCCCACAAAAAAATTAAGCCTTATGGTAAGTCATTAGATCACTTATTTGCTTAGTAGCCGTGTCTCACTTAAAAACTGAGAGCCCTAATACTCTTCTCTGACTAAGAACTATCAGAGAAAATCTATCAAGAAGATATATAGATTTAAAAACTAAGAGGCAAGGAGGGCTTTTATTTTCAGTGACTGAAGTAGAAAAGTAATAAAACAAATTAGGACAAATTAGGTTAACAAAGTCATACAATGAACTATATGCCTACACCCTAAAGGCATTTTTGTGGGCAGGGAAGTTGATACTCACTTTTCCATAGTTCTAATATACAGAAGTTAGTGTATTCACAAATTTTTGAACTTTATAACATAAATTGCCTAAACGGTATTAGCAAAATAACCCAACTTTCAAGAATAATTAAATTTATAGGCATGGCTTGGATACTTTCTTCATTTACTACACAAGAAAATACAGCAAAACAAAAATTAATTAAACTCCCCTGGGTTATCAGACTGAAAAGCAAATGAAATCAGGATTGCTGTTTCAATATAATTTTTACTTGAATTCTGTCCAAGTGGCCCACAAAAACAAAATCTTGTTTAAAATACCTAATGATGTATATGCACATGCCTGAGAAATTAAAATCTGTTGTTCAAATGTACTGTATCATAATGCTTTATAAATGTAAATCATTATTTTGCAGAACATGCTATACAAAAGCAGTCTTTCAGTACAGATTCCATGCACATTCTACCAAGATTTGTGTTTTCATTTGGTTTAAAAGGGTTTCTTTTGGGCTGGGGATTTAGCTCAGTGGTTCCACCACCTGCCTCGCTAGTGCAAGGCCCTGAGTTCAATCCATGATTTAAAAAAAAAAAAAAAAAAAGGTTTAAGCCACCATAAATAACCTAAGTGCTGTCCTTTCCTTTACCTTTGTCCCAATCCCCAAAAAACTGTGAATCCATTGGCATGAAATGTGATCCAGTGCCAACAAGCCTCTGGCTGGCTTCCTAATACTGGCAGAACCAACACGTATAGTTTGGTGACAATACATTCTGCTTAGACAACAAAGGGAGGAAATGTCATAGGGAACAAACCTCCCTTCCTCCACTGTCCCCATTCTTGAAAATCTCAAGATGGAAGCTTCACAAATTACAAAGCTACTATTCCCCTCTTTTAAGAACATATACCTAAAGAAAAACTGCATATGCAAGTCATACCATATTCATTTTTTATTTAACTTGGGGATGGAATGGGGATAGCATACATTTTATTTATACAGTATTTAACAATCATCCAAGGTGGGGTCTTACGGGGATTTTTTTTTTAAGCTTTTTGTTAAATACTTGCAGAAAAAAACAGCAAGTACGATTTGACAGTAGTACAACAATCTGTGCCCAAAACACTGACAGGAAATACAGAGTAAAGCTAAAATAATTGCTTACCAATATCTTGAGAGGTAACAAATAGGATATGGGTTGAGACTGCATAAAAAACGTACTGCTGGTTGAGTATCTGAGGTAAATGATGTTCAATCAAGATGCTACTTGTATCATTTTGCCCAAAAATCGTTAAGTAATTTTATGCACATTATACCAAATGTTCCTAAGAAGTAATTTTTTCAAAAAAGTAAAAAAGAGAAACTGGAAAATATCTGTGATGAAGCATTTTTTTAAAAAATAGTAATCAGTTTTATTCCACTAAACTACCATCTGGTCAATGGTGTTCTCAACCACCTGCAGTTTAGATAAATGTGACTGTTAGAGTGAAGAATGGGGGCAGAAGAGACTTAAAATTCTGTGATACATGATTTTATTTTAAAATCCCAAACAAGTTGGGTTTTTTTCCTGATTGTATTTTCAAAACATCACCATGAAAGATGGTGCAAGTTCATGGGACCCACAAGTGTGAGGCACAGTCTCTGTTCTGGGATTCACAAGGTACCTGTAATAAACATTCAAACAAGAATCACACATTACGTGCTAAAAACTTCCTAGCATCTAAAATACATGAAAGATCTGTGCAGGGCATGGACTTTGAATAAAGCCAAATACTAGTTAATCCATCAGTCCTACGGCAGTTGATCATAAAGCATCTCTTACATGGGAGATCTGGGCAAGGTAGAATACAAGTTAGAGCAGCAGTTCTGATGAGTATCAGAAAGGCAAAGTACAAGACAAGTAGTGAAGAGCACCATACACATGAGGAAAAGTTACTGGGATCTGTTTCCCCAAAACGAAATCACCATTTGCTCATTCTTTGATCTTTTCTCCAGTATCCCTTGCTCCAATTTTGTAACTTGCCCACTGTGCACCGACTGTAAACCAAACACTAAAATGCCCCGCAAAAGAAAGTTTTAACAAGACTAGGTATCAGGACAGGCAGTCACTGGAACATTCTTGTTTTACTGCTTATAAAAGACTTCTCTATTAATGAAGTTCTCAAAAGGATACAAGTTTTAAAACTGGTTAGCTAGAGTTAAGTACAATACCCAGGATTTCTAAAAATGTTTCCTAACGTGAAGAAAAAACATTGTACACTGTGAATAACTGGTCTTAGAAAATTTATCTCTAGTGTTCTCATAAGCCAAACATTCATCATAATATCCCTTATTTATTTTTGTTTCAATGTTTTTTAACTCTAAAGAGGGTTTTTTTTAACAGGTAGAAATTTGTCTTCAGGAGATTAATTTTCCTGTATACACATTGTTTTTCCCTGGATTAATTTCCAAATAGAAGCAACCCCAAATCATGAAATAAAGAGATTGAGTACTTTTTGAAATAAAAGCGCTAAACACTGAGATGGAAATTCATAGAAATACTGTAAGACCTAGGGTACATACATGACCAAGAGCACAAACAGTTCTGTATGGTATGTGGCACACAGCCAAGAATGCTACGTACTCTTATTTACCTCCACACCTGGAGTCTTGACCTATGTGTTGTTTATAAATAATTCTTCCCAGAGATTATGTATTTTGTGTAAAATGTAGTGTACTGTGTGGTTAAATAACAATTTGAATATAACACATTCACGATGTGCTCTTGATGGTGACATGTAAAAAAGTTGATTATAAAAATACATGGATTTTAAAATGACCCAACAAAAAAGGTACACAGCATAATACTAGCTATTTGTTAGTAATCTAAAAATCCAGGAAATTGTTTTACTTTGGCCTGTATAAATTTGAGGAAGAATCCAATTATATCCTAATGCAATATTGTTTTACAAAGAACTTAGGCACCCACCATCAATCTCATTTTCTTAGCAAGGACACAGCATGAACTATCCTAAATTAATATCAAAGTTGTGAAAGCAATTTTGGGGAAGAAACAAGACTGTTTCCTGTATCAATATGTGTTACCTCTAAACATTGCATATTTTAAATTATAACTTTAACTTGTTATCCCTGATTTGTTTTAAAGCAGTAACATCTGAATCTGTGCTTAAAGGTTAATAATCTCTACCCTAAGATAATTCTTTACAAATCCCAGACATCAAATATTACTCTCACAAGATGGCACCAAACAGAAGTATGGTGATAAAGTTACAAGTCTCAAAACGGTGAGTTCTGGATAATGACACTTCCTGAGGTGATCCTAAAACAGTGATAGAGAATGTCCCCCCCACACTGGTGAAAATACACTACGTTTTTACATATATAAATAGGAAAAAGGTATTTTAAAAGATAAAATGAGCTTTCCAGTGTCACAGCTCAAAAAAAACAAAAACAAATCATGCTTTAATTTTTTAAATATTTCCCCAAACACAGCACACCTTAAAAAAAAAAAAAAAAGAAAAAAAAACTTAAGTAAGTATGCAATATTTTGGGACCTGGATATAAGATGAAGCTTTAAAAACGTACGTAAGGCGGAAACTACACCTTTTTTTTTTCATTTTAAAAAACAGCACTTTTCTCCTTAAATTACAAACCAGCACAAGAAAAGCTAAAACACTGCTTTACGAATGGCCACTTACTATTGGCACTAAGCATAGTTTACCACTTTTTCTTAAATAACACAGTGAATTTGTAATACCTTGTTACAAAACATGGATCGATTTATTCAAATTTGTTAGTGTTTTCAATTTCATAATTTAGCAACCGTGGAACTGAGGTATACCTTGTTGAGAGGGAGGTTAAAGTAATGCTTGGAAGCCTCTTTACTGTACCCCACTTTGATGACTTTATGTACACAGAACAGCAGCACACTAAACATTCACAAGCTGTGTCATATTGGCATTACAATAGTCATTTATAGAAACAACAGCAAATGCAATAAAAACAAGTTACCCTTTTAAAATCTGAAATGAAAGTTTTTGATTTAAAAAAAAATAGCAGTAGTTCATTTAAGGAATTAGTGTCTTCTGACAGACATTGAGAAATCTGATGTCAGCTTTCAAACACTTGATTAGCCAAGTCCAAAAGATCCTTGATTTGGAGAGGGCCACATTCTTCATGTACATTTTTTTCAAAAGTTTGTTTATAAAGTCTGCAACTTTTCTTAGTCTCATGTCCTTCACATCTGTGCTGCAGGCAATGCAGTGAGTCTCCCAGCGCCACACTTTTCAACAGGGGGCTGCTCGCTTAACATTTCCAGGAGGCATCCTATTCATTTCACACTGAAAATAAACTGTAAGCAGTTTTGTTAGCTTAGCAGCTCCAGTTCAGAGTCCCGTTTCTCAGTGTGTACAGATGGTGCAACCATCATAGACTAGATTCTTTGGGAGGAAAGTCAACATTTGTCACCATTGTGACCACTGTTACAATGTCCTCTGTGGTAATGATATTTGTTAGTCTTTGCATCTGGGTAATTCTTTCACCTACACATCCAGCTGATAACCTGGCTTCTGCATCATGATCCCAACACTCTTCTATCGTTTCACAAAGCATTGCCATTCCCTAAGACGAGAAACACATAGTCAAACACCCCAGCAATTATTGTGATCGAAGTTTCAAGATAAGCAAACTTTCATATTATCTGTCAACTTTCACTCTCAAGTATCATGCAAAACCATGAAGAAAAGCACAAAAGGTAATCATTTTTTTTATGCACTGGAGACTGTTGCAACAGGATTTTTAAATTTCAATAATGCCTATACATTGTTCATAGATGATCATTTCAATGTAAACCCTGAACTAAACTCAAAACCAAAACTAGTGGGAAGTGTACCACTTTTTCAGTTGTACTTAAAATTGCCCCTGTTGTCTCACAACTAAATACAGAATTGGAGGGCCATCCTTTAGGATTCACTACCTGATTTTACCCAGGTTTCTATTTACAGTTAAACCAAAACTACCAGGACAATATTCCATCCTTTACCTAGGTTCTAATTTTAACGTATTCATATTAACTTCATAGTCTTAGCCAAATTCAAAAGGCTAAAGCAAATTCCCCTGGTGAGAAAAAAAAACAAAAAAAAAAACAAACCTGGTGCTTAGTTTAAAAATTGCATCATGTTGGAAGGTGGTGATCCACAAGGCTACCTGGCTATCCAGTGGCTCAGCACTAGGAATTTCCATGGAAAGTTTTCCAAACCAGGCACTCATCTGCACAGAACCTTGGAGATAGGAGCCTTGTAAGGCTCCATGATGTCAAACTCTCCTGGTGGGTATACAAAGCCCTAATTCTCCTACTTGTAGAACTTGCACAGAATTACCTGTGTGAAGATCACCTTCCCAGAAGGCAGAGAACGAATCACTCCTCTGAAAAAAAATGTTGTATTGGAATTTCAAATTAAAAGCTAACTGTAACTTACAGCATGTTTCTGCCAATAATCTCTTAAAACAGGCCTCTTTTTTTTATGCACAACAACTTCCTGCATGTCTTCAAGAGATGGATGCTGGCCAATTTCCTCTTCAAATGGTAACATGTACTCATCTACAGGTCCTGAAATGTAAAAAAGGAAATAAGTCATCTTAATTAAAATCTTCCTGACTTCTAAACTGGTTTTCACTTTCTAAAATACACTTTTGCCTTTTTCCAACTCTATGTGCTATAAGGACAGGAAAGAAACAGGCTTAGTTATACTTACCACAGTGTGACCAGACCATAAAAGAAATCAAAAGGTTTGCGGTTTGGCACATAACATTGTTAAGATTGTTTAGGAGCTTTCTTATCTACTGTATGAGGACCACTTGTATCCATTTGGATATGGGACACAGAGAACAATCTATGCTTGCAAATGAAGAATATAATATTCTTAAGTAACTGATAATACTTGCATTTCAGATTAGAATGTTAATAGTGCTGTCTCTACCTCCGAAGAAACCTATGACAACCATCTCCATTCTGTGTATATTCAAACTCTCTACATGTCCCACCTAAGGAATTAATGTGCCTCAACGTCATATCTCTTCCTGCCCTCTCACACAAAAACTAAAAGTACATTTGCTTATTTTTAAAAATCACACACACTCCACCAAGGTTTTCAACAAGTCAGAATGTCCTTCACAGGTAAAATTTATTCAACAACATAAATAATTCCTTTTTTCTCATACTTACTCAAGTAGGAAAATGCATTCAGGAGGTAATAATAACTAGCAGTCGAGGAGCATTTACCCTGACTGGAAACTTTACATGTGTTACTTTTTACAAAGGAAAGACAGCATGAAGTTCAGGAAGTTACAGAGTTTTGCACAAGAGAATATAATTATTACCTTGAAGACTTGAAAGTTTTGAATCCAGCAAATCTAAGCTTTCACCTTAACAAATATGGATCACTAGTGAATAATTTCATTGAGCTGATGTGTTGTGTACACAGACTTAAGATTCATGCCAGGCCTTGAAATGCACCAAATACGCCTGGATAATGAACCAGGAAGACGTAATGAAGCCTTTGCAAATATAAGAACCTGATGGCTGAAAAGTCTTGGCTTGACAGTACTTACACTAAGGTGCCTATTTAACTCTTGCATGCTCTTGTACTGGCGTCAACTAATAGCTTGTAAAAAGTGTAGACTTTCAGGTCTCAACCCAGACTTACTGAGTCAGAATCTTGATTTTTAACAAAATTCCCAGGGGTTCAGTATGCACATTAGAGTTTGAAAATGACTGGATTTAACTATCAGTAACTAGCCACCAACAAATTTAAAAGCACTCATGTTTGCAATGTTGTTCACATTGTCCCTCTGGCTCCCAGTTTCTGACTTAAAAGAAAAACCTGTTTCATTACATATACAAAGTAAGAAAAGTCAGCATCTATATTTTTCCATAAAAACTTCCCTGATAATCTGTCTGCCTCAAAAGCAGTATTTTCTCTAAACTACTATAACACTCTCTTATGTCTCAGGTATCATATTCACCCAAAAACATGTAATAAATGTCTATAACCAGGTACTGGACTAGATAATTCACACCTTATTCTACAGTTACCTGTCCAGAATATATTTTATGCCTTAAGTGTTTATTACTTGAGATCAGGGTCCTGTGTCCCTGTTGAGAACTAATCCAATGTTTTTCTATTGATAATTCATATTAAAGTTCTTATGAAATGTATCTTCCTATAACATCTGCCACCTAACCTGCTTCCGCTCCCATAAGTGCACATAATCAATGTAATATCTCTTCCATTTTTGAGTCAAAATACACTGAACAGCTTACTCATCTTTCTGTAGACTTAGTCCCAAGATGCTTCAAGCTTTCTTAAGTTCTGAATCTATTCTCAAGACAAACTTCAATTCCTGGAAGAATGAACAGCTTTCCATTTCCGAACCTTCTACTAAGTTCCATTTAACATAGGATAAGTTGGCTATACTTTTAAATACTCAATGCAATTTCTTCTATGATCTTTGATGATCAGAAGTTTTTAGGCAATTACAAAATAGAATTAAAAAAAAAACATATCAAGCTCATTTACATTTGTTTGAAAGATTAGCAGTCAGTTTGCCTTATTGAAAAAAGTGCTGCCCCACATTCTGGAGAAAGAGACCATATGAAGGAACACTAAAGACAAAGTACCTTAATACTACAGATTTGTCACACTAGGAATACAGAATGCAGGTTTATAATCAAGTAAATGGCATATATTTATATGACAATAACTTGGACAAATGGGAACCTTTTAGAACCAAGCTAAGGTGGTAGAGAAAGTGACCAGTATTCACAATAATGTTTATAGATGTCAGACCTTCATAGCTTTGGGGAGGCAGAATTGAACCAGTCATGAACAGTGAAATAGATATTCAGAGTTCTATGTCTCGAAAATCAGAAACTAATCTGGTTAAGTAATGCTGAACATACTCATGCTGTCTTAGAAGGCAAAGTCCCTCCTACTCCTCATAGATTTCTTACAGAAAGAGCTAACTTGAGAACCCGGAGGGCAAGATTTACATGAAACCCATGCAGCAGCCCTCCCTGGGAGAAGAGTTAGAAATACAGATTTTTACCATTAACCAGTTTGAGGCAAGATACTTAATTTCTGAGTTTCAGTTTCTTCATCTGTAAAACTAAGATAATAACTACCTCCAAAATAGGAAATAAACTAAACGTATGTGAAGTGTCTGGCAAAACATAGCAATGGTAAAGGATTAAAACATATTCGTAGTTCCTTTCCTCTCCCACCCACCCTCTCTGTTCCCCTGCCTCTTCTGAATTCTCTACCACCTCTTGCAGTCTATTAAAAAGAAACTGTACTTGATTACCTTTGAATGTAATATCTCTTTTTTCTCAGAGTTTATTGGTACATTTTAGGTATACAGTACAGTTACATTCATTATTGGGATCTTGTACCTTTACATGACAGGTCTTGGTTCTCATTTTTTCCTCTTACCCTTGCACTCCCTTCACGCTCTCCTCCCTTCCTTATTTACAAAAACTTTATTTCCATTTTTTCATTTTCTCATACCTTTTTCTTTTCCCTTATTTTCTTTCTCCTACCCTTCCCACTTCACCTACACCTTTAGCCCTTTTCTTCCTATTACAGATTGTCAATTATACCATTAGGATCTTATTTACAATTATAGTTTTTCACACCAAAGAAACTATTTGGTATTTATACATGTGTGACTTATTTCACTTTAGAGTATAACCTCAATATGCATCCATTTTCCTATGAAAGACTCTAATTTCTCATTGTTTATGGCTGAGTTGTATTCCATTTTATAGAAAAACCACATCTTTATCCAGTCTCCAATTGATGGGCAAATGGGCTGTTTCCAAGTTTTAGCTATTACATACTGTGCTGCTATAAACATGGGTGTGCATATATTACTGTGATATGGTTCTTTTAATTCCTTTGGAAAGATACCCAGCAGAGGGATGCCTGGGTCAAATAGAACCTCTAGTCCCAGCTCTTTGAGGTATCTCCATATCGATTTCCATAGTGGTTGCACCAGTCTGCACTCCCACCAACAATGGAGAAGGGCTCCTTTTTCCCCCACATCCCCGCCAACATTGCTGAATGTACTCTCTTTATAAGTGTGGCATAGACACTTTTTAAAGAATACTTTTTCCTTACCATCTGCAGCCGTACAGCGAGAAGCCAGTTCCCACAGGACTAATCCCATGGCGTACATATCTATCCTCAAAAATGCATCCCTTTGGAAGTTTATGGCACCCTCTAATACCTCTGGGGCCATATATCTCCGAGTACCAACCTGAAAAAGATTTTGAAAGCAAGAAATACTCATTCATTAACTTTATGAACATTTTATGATTTTGTAAAATGTATCAAACCCAATATGGTCTATTATCTGGGTAAAATGACTGAATTATAACTATCAGACTGTACAGATAGAAAGATTATTTCTGGGACACTTAAAAATATCGACATTATGCTAGTAGTAGCTCAGACACCACCAACCCCCCAACCCCCGCAGCTGCTCAAGTAATCATAAGGAACTAAACAATGATTGCTGCGAGGATACAACAGAGAAAACAGAATACTTTTCAATTGTACTTTCACACAGTGTTTGAAATATATCCTTTAAAAACTTCCTGAGGACTTCACGAATTACAAGATTTGTGTAGGAATTAATCAAGTACAGATGGACAAACAAAAAGTTCTATTTTTATAGAATAATCTATGTATTTACTCATAAATTCTTGTCTTAGAGTCCTTTTATTTATATCTGTCCCCAACAATTTGGTATCTCTTAGGACTGTATCTATGGTAATTAAGTTAGTACATCTAGCTTTGGATGCTGCTTGACAACATTCTTTTTTTTTTTTTGGTACTGGGAACTGAACTCAGGCTTGCAAACGGCAGAACCACTGAGCTAAATCCCCGGCCCACTTGACAACATTCTTATATGAATGCTTAAAAATTTTTTTTGTGTGAGATATCTGGAGAGATCACAAATATATACTTGAGTTTCAGCAGACCTATGGAGCAGCTTTGATACTAGTTATTTCCCAAAAGCTCCATCCTTCTGTTTCTGTGAGCTCTAGACCTGAAGTTAGGCAATTATATGCCCCCCAAAAAAGAAAGAAAAAAATATATAATGTTTTTTTTTAAAAAAAAAATAAGAACAGATTACTATATAACTCTGAAGTTTCAGTTTTTAATTTACGTAAGAACACTTTATAAAAAGAAAGAAGTAGTTTTACTCTGAATTTTTATTTTACTGGGTCTCCTAAAAGACTATTTTCTCTTAAATGTATGCTATCCAAAATACCTTTTATATGGCTTATCTTTTTCAGTCTGAAATGACCTCTCTGTTATAAATTGATGATAGTAGATAAAAAGGTTTTTGTTTTTTCCAAAGGTTCTTTCTTTGTAATATATAAAATGAGCAATAACACACAAGTACCTCTAAACAGTTTTGAAATGTTCTGGCTCATGAAATCTAAAGTCAAAGGGCCACTGTTACGTTTAACTAGTCCTATAATATAATTGTGATGGTGTTCAAAGATGACATTAAAAAAAATGGAAAGAGGCAAATAAGGTAAGGGATGAAACTATTCCCAAACACAAGAAGTGCAGAAGTTTGTGCGTCAGCTTTCTACCCAATCTCCATCTTGGTAATACTCTCAACAAACCGCCTCCATCTGCAAACAGACTTGGTATCAACTTTTTGAGAGCTCTATGACTGCTGACCACTACCCTAAACTGAATTCTTAAATTTTTAGTCAGTATTGCCAAAATTCACTTTGTCATTATTATTTACAACTCTGCTCTTGGGATCAAAAGGATATCCTGAAAAAAAAAATCAAGCTCAGTATTACCTGATCAAATTTCATGATTCAAGGGCTGGGGATTTAGCTCAGTGGTGCTGCCACCTGCCTTACAAGTAAGCACAAGGTCTGGAGTTCAACCCCCAGCACCAAAAAAAAAAAAAAAAAAAAAAAAAAAAATCGTGATTCTAAAGAGGAAGAAAGGATAAAGCTAAATCACTCGGTTTTGTAGGAATGTGACCTTTTGGGTCAATTTTGTTTTATCGATCAAAAGTTTATTTTGTAGGAATGAAAACACTTCCTAGCCTCACAGTTTCTAATAAGAAAATGAAAGGATAATCTTTTTCTTTTGGGCCTTCCCTGAAGGTGCCCATTGATAAAATCTCTGTGTGGACTTTAACTAGAGATAGATACCTCACTCAGGCCTTTTTTAGGATTCTGAATTCTGAAGACAACTCAGACAAAAACCCATCAAGCTGATCAAAGTGTTAATAAAGCAGCAAAGAGCCAGGAGCAAGAAACTACTTGTTTTAAAAAACGGGAAGAATATTTCAATACACTGTAGCCAAAATAGTGACTGATGATTTTTCCAACTCCTCTTGAGATGAGGACAGAATTAGCAAGTTACAACTACTGAACTAGCACTAAGAATTTCCTAAGAATGAGGCTATCGAAAGATGGAATCTTCTGTGATCTGTTTTTTAAAAAGAATCCTATAATATGTAAGTTATTTTATGAAGTAATTTTAAACAACTTGAGTCCTCTACCACCATATGAAAATGTTATCTTGTTGCAGAAAAATTAAAACATGACACTTGAGTAGATGCTAAGTAATAATCACCACCACCACAATTTCAGACCAATTCATTCCTAATATGCCAGTCTAAGGAAAAAGGAAAGCTTACTTTTCTTATATCATCCTTACCTGTCCATGGGTATCACCTGCAGACTTGCCAGCCTCAAACTTTAATGCCAACCCAAAGTCAGCAATACAAGCTGTCAGATTGTTTTTCAACAACACATTTTTACTTTTGATGTCCCTTGCAAACAGAAAGATAAAGTATTCAAATTAAATTTAAACGTTATTTTTTAAAAAATCTATTGAAAATGGAAAAGAGAACATGCTATAAAATAGTTATTTTAAAATATGAAATGTAAAGAAAGAAAACTGAAAAAAATCTTAAGCAGAGCCTAAGAGTGGAGTGACAAACTCCTCCTATTTATAACACAGACAATAAGACCCCATAAAGCAGTTTACAAAGAACTGCCATCCAAAAATATATTATCTCTGTCACTCCCAATACATGTCATCTATGTCACTCCCACATAGCAATCATAAAATTGCTGTTTTTTTAAGACACAGTAGTTCAGATTTTATAGTTCAGCCTCCTGTAAGAACTGAAATTTTAAAAAAAATTTTTGGTACCAGAGATCGAACTCAGGCCCTTGCGTTTACAAGGCAGGCAGTGGAACCACTGAGCTAAATCCCTGGCCCCAAGATCTTTTTAAAAAATTGTTGAATTGGGATCTTTTGTCAGTTGGCACAGACCTACACTAAAATAGTCCTTACACCTGGTTGCAGAGATTATCTCTAATAAAATATAACACATACAAAGCTTTTACCTTAACATAGGTACTGCTCAAGCTCTATCCTGGTGTTCTGAAAAGGGTAACTGTTTTAAGGCAGTAAAATACCATCCTCTAGACACTTTCCTGAATTAGTTAATCCTAGAGATTACTAGCCACCAACTAATACAACTAGACCATGATCCGTGGTTACATTTATGTGTATAGTCACAGATCAGGGGTGTGATGAAGACAGAGAGGAAAACAAAAATCACTTTCAGTCTCAAAAGATTTTCAGGGCTCCTACTTCTAATAACTATTTATTTATTTAGGTAGGGGTAAGGGTGTGGTCCAAAGGATTAGTATCCTATTAGAAGACAGACTGAATGCAGGAAGAATGTGAGAATAAATGGGGATGGGGCACCATTTCTGAAATAAAAATCTAAAAGGCTTGCAAAGTGAGAATCTATATATTTCAGGTAGATTTAAAGTAAAGCCTAAAACTATCTGCTGGCACTCAACTAAAAATCCATTAAATGAATCAGGTAATACCTATTTGTAAAACAACTACCTTTAGAATGAATACAAAATTGACAGACTGAATCAATCCCATGTTCAAGGAAGTTAAATACACAACAAAATGAGTCCATGTTAAGGAACATTTTTCTTTTTGAGGGTATAACAACTGCTGGAATCTAGGTACTATTTCTTCATTAGGCAACTGTGAATGATACCTCTCTAGCTCTGCTCAAGGAAGGAATATAAGGTCATTCAAAAAAAGAGCAAAGTAAACATTCAGGATTTCTCCTTATCTGTATCTTCTACCTATTCATAACCACCTTTATGTAAATGATGTTTTGAGTTAAAACAAATTACTTTTTATTTTTAGGTAAAGAAAATATACTTTCATTCTCAATCCTTTCACAAATGAGAAATTAAAGCATAAGGAGATAATTAAACTTTACTAATGATGTTAACATATACATTTTCTATAATAATACGTGAGCCTCAAAGCTAATTTAAGAAACAAATGAAAATCATCTACTTCCTACAGCATGATTAAACAGCTCAGGGGAATTAAAATTACCTAGGGGATTAAATTTCAAATAAGAGGGCTGGGGATTTAGCTCAGTGGCACTGCACCTGCCTCACAAGCATGAGGTCCTGAGTTTGATGCCTGATACCAAAAAGAAAGAAAGAAAAAAAAAAAAAT